TGTGTGTGTGTGTGTGTGTGTGTGTGTGTGTGTGTGTGTGTGTGTGTATATATATATATACGTGTGTGTGTGTGTGTGTGTATATATGTATGTATGTATGTATGTATATATATATACACACATATCTATACACACACACACACACACACATACACACAGACTGTGGTGCTTGAAAGTTTTGTGAACCTTTTAGAATTTTCTATATTTCTGAATAAATATGACCAAAAATATCATCAGATTTTCACACAAGTCCTAAAAGTAGATCAAGAGAACCCAGTTAAACAAATGAGACAAAAAAATCAGTTTGTAATTTATTTATTAAGGAAAATTATCCAATATTACATATTTGTGAATGGCAAAGTATGCGAACTTTTGCTTTCAGTATCTGGTGTGACACCCCCCCCCCCCCCCCCCCCCCCCCGGACCCGTGCAGTAATAACTGCAACTAAATGTTTCCGGTAACTGTTGATCAGTTCTGCACACCGGCTTGGAGGAATTTTAGCCCATTCCTCCGTACAGAACAGCTCTGGGATGTTAGCGGGTTTCCTCACATCAACTGCTCGCTTCAGGTCCTTCCAAAACATTTTGATGTATGTATATATACACGTAGTGGGGAAAATAAGTATTTGATACACTGACGATTTTGCAAGTTTTCCACCTAAAAAACATGGAGAGGTCTGTAATTCTCTTCAACTGTGAAAGACAGAATTTAAGAAAAAAAATCTGAAAATCCCATTGTATGATTTTTAAATAATTCATTTGCATTTTGCATGAAGTAAGTATTTGATACAATAGAAAAACATAACAATATTTGGCACAGAAGCCTTTGCAGTTACAGAGGTCAGACGTTTCCTGTAGTTCTTGAGCAGGTTTGGACACATTGCAGCAGGGATTTTGGCCCATTCCTCCATACACATCTTCTTCAGATTGTTCAGGTTTCTGGGTTGTCGCTGGGCAACATTGAATTTCAGCTCCCTCCAAAGATTTTCCATTGGGTTCAGGTCTGGAGACTGGCTGGGCCACTTCAGGACCTTGAAATGCTTCTTACGGAACCACTCCTTATTGCCCTGGCTGTGTGTTTCAGGTCATTGTCATGCTGGAAGATGCAGCCACAACCCATCTTCAATGCACTTACTAGGGGAAGAAGGTTGTTGGCCAAAATCTCAAGATACGACCCCATCCATCCTCCCTTCAATACAGTGTAGTCGTCCTGTCCCCGTTACAGAACAGCAGCCTCAATGTATGATGTTTCCACCCCCATGCTTCACAGTTGGGACGGTGTTCTTTGGGTTGTACTAATCCTTCCTCTTCCTCCAAACACAGCGAGTGGAGTTGATACCAAAAAGCTCTATTTTAGTCTAATCTGTCCAATCTGCCTCCTCTGGATCATCCAAATGGTCAACGGGCCTGAACCAGTGATGTGCAGTCAGGGGAGGCAGTGTCTCACCTGTCATCATCATCTTCTTCTTTGTCTTTCGGCTTTTCCCTCTTCAGGTGTCGCCACAGCGAGTCATCCTCCTCCATCTCACTCTGTCTGCATCCTCTGTCCTCATTCCAACTACCTCCATGTCCTCTTGAAATGACTTGTCTGTCACATTTGACCACTTGACTCTTCTGTAAAACTGTTTTCTGAATTATTTCAAAACTTGATTGGTCAAAATCACAAAATGTATGCATTGCCTGTTCAAACACATGCAAGAAATGCGGAGTGAGGCAGTGTAGCGCTGTGGCTCACCTCTGGTGGTGCCGTGTTAGTCCATGCCCATTGCTCTCTTTATATCGCCAATATACTGTGGACAGGTGTCTTTTATACAGGTAACAAGATCAAACAAGTGCAACTGATACAGGTAATGAGTGCAGGATTCTTTAAGGAAAACTAACAGGTCTGTGAGAGCTAGAATTCTTGCTGGTAGGTAGTTAATCAAATAATTATTTCATGCAATGAAATCCAAATGAATTTAAAAAATCATACAATGTGATTTTCTGGATTTCTTTCTTAGATTCAGTTTCTCACAGTTGAAGTGTACCTACGATAAAAATTACAGACCTCTCCATTCTTTGTAGGTGGGAAAACTTGCAAAATCTGCAGTGTATCAAATACTTATTTTGCCCACTGTGTGTGTGTGTGTGTGTGTGTATATGTATGTATGTATGTATATATATATATATATATATATATATATATATATATATATATATATATATATACACACACACATACATATATATACATACATAAAGTGTGGTACAATATATATATTTTTTTTCCTAATAAAAAGGAAAAACGTAAATTTTGAAGAAAAAAGTACATTTTGGAAGTGGATGAATATGTGCTTGAAATAACTCACTCAGTCCTTGTACAGGTGCATGAAAGAGGTTTTTTTTTTTTTTTTTTTTTTTTTGGTGGCTTCAGACTTTGCAAACATTAACAAGCTTTTTAAGCTCAGAATTTTAAAACGCCCCTCAAAATTAAAACTAATTTCTTGACTATCCTATGGGTTAGAACTTTAAAACCACTTTTTCTTTATCAGGAAGTCTTTAGTTGCTAAAGCTGGGTTTGATTTATAGTTCTCCTAAATCCCAAAAGGTACCAGTCTGATTAAGCTTTTTTCCATTTTATTTCTTTATAGTCAAGATTGATGTGTTGTTGTGATCCTGCTTGCATTTGATTTGTACTCTTATACATCCCAGTTTGCTTTTGTGCTCCCTCCTTACAATCTAACATTCAATTTTTGTATTTATTTTTTATTTGTTTACAAACATTTTATTAAGTTACCGTATGTTTGCGTATATCCTGTATGAATTTTAGTATCTCTCTCTCTCTTTAGTATGCACACTTTAACAAGTTTGAACCTAATGAAGTTTGGGGTCTTCTTTGCAAAAAGCCTTAAACACAATTGTTTGAAAATCTTTATTGTTAAAGAAAATATAGGTCAAAAACTGTGAAAAAAGTGTTTCAAAGCCATGACTAATAAGACAGATGGTTATTTTATGATAATAAAGATTATAGTAAATATGTTAATGACTATAATAAAATACTGATAATATAATTGATGTCAACACCAATAGTTTTCTAAGTGATTGTAAAATATGCTAAAAAGCCTTGTAGGTCAGGGTACTTTTTTATTATTAACTTGTTAACTTTTATATTCTTTGTAAAAGCTGTTGGTAATGTGCGTATCTACATAAAGCTTAAAGCAGTTTCATGATGTATTCATTACTGATGTTTATCATTTTAAATAAACTGTAAGTCATATAACAAACTTTAAAACGCTTCATAATGAAAAGCTCATATTGTCATCTTTGTACAGAGATGTGCTGTTTGATCCTGCATGGCTGAACCAGACATATACCATACCATACCATTTTATTTATAAAGCACTTAAAACAGCGACAAGCCTAACCAAAGTACTGTACAGACAGAACAACAGGTAACACACAAAGCAATATGCAAAATGAAGTAAATCAGAATATAGACATAAAAACGATGCAGATAATAAATTTGACAACTAACCTGTGTGAAGCAAACAGGTTCAAAACACAGATCATCTGGTG